TAAGAGAGAGAGAGAGAGAGAGAGAGAGAGAGAGAGAGAGAGAGAGAGAGAGAGAGGGAGGGAGGGAGAGGGAGACCTGTATGTCAGCATCAGCCAAGAGATGCTCAACTGAAGGCATGATTTCCGCCTGTAAATATCTTTCATGTAAACCTTGTATAAAAAGGGAAAAGGGGAAGGGGGAGCTCATGCAATAAAGAAATTTATTATCATGATGAAACAGTAATCTTTTGGCACCTTTGGCTCATTATATACTGTATGCAGCGAGTCAACAGATGGATGATCAAATAGAGATAAGCAACGATCCTTGCCAAACGCAATAAGAGGAACCTTATTCTCCAATGAGTAAAGACATGCCTGCACAAAAAGAGCATATGTCTTTTGTTTCAATACATTTCCAATGGAAAAATGAAAGTCTAGCAATCCCCACCAAGGTATTACCTCTCTGCAGACACTTGGATCTAAATTCTTTCTAAAGATTTCCTGACCTTGTTTACCATAAACAAGCAATCCCTGGAATCAAGCAGAGGCAGACAATAAGAACAGATATTAACTCACGCAAAAATATTTCTAAGAAAGAGAAGTATACCCAACAATCAGTAAGGCATTCTGTTTGTTTCGTATAAATATGACCCATTAAGTCAGTAAAACTTAGTACGAATTTACCTTATAAGTTTGGTGACAGACAAAGAACATGAAATTTTTTAAAGACCGAGCAGGAATGGTTAGCACCGTTCAATATAGTGTCCACATCAAGCTTACAAAAGGAAGAAAAACATCTAGGTCTAAACCAAATGCAGATTGTTGTGTACAATTTGGGTAAATACAAGTGAGAAAATTATGCAATCACATTCAACAGAAGACTGAGCAGTATCTGACAAGTGAATACAGTGCTTTGTTCATCAGACTTGCAACATGGTGAGGACGAAATTTGTAAGGAGAAAAGATTAACCTGCAAGAAAACCCCAGGAGAAAATTCTGAAACAATGCCATCTTTTCCAGCTAAATCTACCTCCTTAAAAATGTTTATCACGGCTGAACGAGACTGTTCCAAAGAATTATGAACAATTAGAAGATTTTTCAACCAACAGTAAAACATTAGAATAACAAAGTTTCCAAAATAGACCAATCAAAATAAGTAAAATTCATATTGGCGAACATAAATGAAAACAGATTTAGAGTATAATATCCTCCTGATTATGAATAAAAAGAAGATGTTATTACTTTTCCGGTAGCTATCACTACTTTCACACCCCTTGATGAGACCTCTTTGAGAGCTTTCACAGTTGTTGAACTAATTTGACTTTTGCTGTTGAGAAGGGTGCCTTGTATGTCAAGAGAATAAATATAAAAAGTTTATCATAAGCTTAATACACAGCACAGTGAACGTGTACGAGCACAATAACCTTGAACTTACCATCCATATCGCAGAAAATATATTTGAACTTTGGTTTATAAAATCGCAGGCTGCCTTCTCTCTTCCTGTCTTTTAACAATTCACCTGTAAGATTATCTCACTACAAATTTATATAAGAAAATCATAGCTACGGAATGAATAAGGTCCAATGACAAAAGGATGTAAAACTGAAGCCGAAAAAAGATAAAACTACCATCTGGTTTTTCCTCATGAGAATTAACATGGGTTTCAGCATCATGTGCACTCTGAATTAATCCTTTCCCCTTCCACCCAAGGCTCTTTAATAGAAGCTCCTCCTCCTTCTCCATTTCCAGTTCGGCCTCTTCACTAACCTCATGATCAAATCCTAATAAATGCAACAATCCATGTACCTACAGGAGGATTCAGTGATTAAATTTATCAAAGTACACCAAAAAGTGTCACCCCAAAGTATAAACTTTAAAACATATATACATATACTTAAACCAACCAACCATGAGAATGCGTATCTCGTCAATAAGTGAGTGACCTCTTTCCTCTGCTTGTCTTGCCGCTGTCTCAACAGAAATCACAATGTCACTCAACATAAGCTGCAAATGATACAAATGCTCAGTGACTAAAGTTATGTAATAAGAAAACAAATAAGATTTAACAAAGAGAACAAAGCAAACGAGCTAGTACAATGGGAAGCTTAAGATCAGGGATATGTTGGGACAACGAAAGAACATCGGTGGCATGGTCCTCGTTTCTCCATTCCTTGTTAAGTTTTCGGATAAACTCATCGTTGCAGAGAAGTACCGAAAGCTCGACGCTTTCAAAACCACCAACGTCGCTTATGGCATTGTCCCTTGTTTTGTACACTGAACCATTCAAACCATCAAAAGCTAGCTTCATCGCCAATGGAACGTTGAGACGAAGCAATTCCGCAATACTCTGCAAATTTCAAACTCCACTTTACTTCAGCTAATATGCTATGCTTGTATTATACCGAGAAACATTTACACAAACACGTGGTGGTCGTACTGAGCTTACCAGGACTTCAGGATCGTCAGGCAAATCTTCCTCAATGCAAATGCTGACATCGAGCTCTATCTCCTTCTTCTCCTTCTCCTTGGTTTTTGTGGCCCTCCGCCTCATCTTTCGGTACTCTCTCTGCGAACTGTAGATTGGCCCGCTTAACAACGGTGGCCTCGCAGCTCCTCTCCATTCGTCTCCGCACAAAGAGTGAAATCTCCAACCGAAAAGTGAAGACTTTGAGGAGTAGAAACGCTGCGTTTTGAGAGGGAAGATTGAATGCGGGGGAGCAGGAAATGACGCGGCGGTGTGCCGAATGGGAATGGGGGTGATGGACAGGAGAGTGGCGCGAGGAATGTAACGCGCCATTTGAGTGGCGGAGGAGGAGGGAAGGTGGAGGGTGCGAAGCAGAGTAGACGAAAGGAGAATCATTTACAGACCAGGCCTTTGGAGCTCGTAAGGCAGTGTGTTAATGGCTGCTTCGCGCCCCGTGAGTGACAAAGTGATGAGACGTCACGAAAACGAAGGTTTCCATACACCACAACAAATGAGAGAACGGCTCTTTTTTTCTTTTTTCTTTTTAAAAAAAAATAAATTTTTTTTAGTCAAATTCCTTTTGCAAATTACAACTTAAATGTTCGGCCATTATATTATTTTTTAATATATATATTATTTTAATATGCGAGAATTATGTGTATAATATGTGAATTTTGTGTCTTAATAATTTTGTAAAAAATATGTGTATTAAACATGAAAAATATGTACGTACTTGTATAATACGAGTATTATATGTTTACTTTTAAAAAAATGTGAACTTTATCGAGTCTTTAAGACGTGTGCAGAATACGGATGTATAATTAAAAAATACATACATGCATGTATAATACATTATTAAACATGAAAGTGCTAAATTGTTTATACGGGTAATAACTCTAGAAAAAGTAAAAAATCAAAAGTAGACAAAAGAGACTCGGGTGATGGCCTAATAGTAATGAATAATGTTATAAACTACTCTTATTGATAAATGAAAATTAGGGAAATTTTTTTTTTTTTAAAAAAAGGATTGCAATATATATATATAAAGAGTATAGCCGATCGGCTATACTATTTATTAAAAAAATTAAAACAAGAAAAACACAGTACAACAAAGCGGCTATATTATTTTTTATAAAAGATTAGAAAAAATCGAGTATCTCTGCTCGACTGTACTATTTATAAAAAAAAATTTAAATAAAAAAATAAAAAAAAACCAAAAGAGGGCTCGCCCAGCGATTAGGCGCTTATGTGTCAAAATACTTATAGCCGTGCGGCTATACTATTTTTAAAAATACAAATAAGGATTATTCGTAGCAATGGTCCCTCAATTATACCCCAAGTAACACTTTGGTGACTCAACTCAAATATTAGTTGCAAAGGTTACTCAATTAGGTGTTTTGTTGCACCGTTAGTCCTACCGTCAAGTCTCTTTAACAGTAGGGACTAATTGTGCAACACAACACCTAATTGAGTGACCAAAATGTAACTCCAAGTATAGTTGAGGGATCGTTACTACAAATAATCTTAACTAAAAAGTCACATTTGCCCATCAATAATCTAAGAGATGTTTGCCACGTCATTATTTTAAACAGAAAAAATAACAGACTTGACGGTAGGACTAACGGTGCAACAAAACACCTAATTGAGTAACCTTTGCAACTAATATTTGAGTTGAGTCACCAAAGTGTTACTTGGGGTATAATTGAGGGACCATTGCTACGAATAATCCTTATTTGTATTTTTAAAAATAGTATAGCCGCACGGCTATAAGTATTTTGACACATAAGCGCCTAATCGCTGGGCGAGCCCTCTTTTGGTTTTTTTTTATTTTTTTATTTAATTTTTTTTTTATAAATAGTACAGTCGAGCAGAGATACTCGATTTTTTCTAATCTTTTATAAAAAATAATATAGCCGCTTTGTTGTACTGTGTTTTTCTTGTTTTAATTTTTTTAATAAATAGTATAGCCGATCGGCTATACTCTTTATATATATATATTGCAATCCTTTTTTTAAAAAAAAAAAAATTTCCCTAATTTTCATTTATCAATAAGAGTAGTTTATAACATTATTCATTACTATTAGGCCATCACCCGAGTCTCTTTTGTCTACTTTTGATTTTTTACTTTTTCTAGAGTTATTACCCGTATAAACAATTTAGCACTTTCATGTTTAATAATGTATTATACATGCATTTATGTATTTTTTTAATTATACATCCGTATTCTGCACACGTCTTAAAGACTCGATAAAGTTCACATTTTTTTAAAAGTAAACATATAATACTCGTATTATACAAATACGTACATATTTTTCATGTTTAATACACATATTTTTTACAAAATTATTAAGACACAAAATTCACATATTATACACATAATTCTCGCATATTAAAATAATATATATATTAAAAAATAATATAATGGCCGAACATTTAAGTTGTAATTTGCAAAAGGAATTTGACTAAAAAAAATTTATTTTTTTTTAAAAAGAAAAAAGAAAAAAAGAGCCGTTCTCTCATTTGTTGTGGTGTATGGAAACCTTCGTTTTCGTGACGTCTCATCACTTTGTCACTCACGGGGCGCGAAGCAGCCATTAACACACTGCCTTACGAGCTCCAAAGGCCTGGTCTGTAAATGATTCTCCCTTCGTCTACTCTGCTTCGCACCCTCTATTATTATAAAAGGACCCTCTAAGCGCTTCCCACGTGTCAAAACGTAAAGCCGTTCGGCTATACTATTTTTAAAAAATATTAGTGAAGAACGAGTATAGCCGCGCGGCGATACTTTTTAAAAAAAAAGAAAAAGGAAAAAACCGGGTATAGCTGTGTTCGATTTGGATTCTCTAATATACTTTTCTTTAAAAACTTTCTAATTAATCACATGTTCTACCTTGTTTAACATTATAGATTTGAAATCCGTTTGGTTGCCAAGAAAATTGATAGTGGAAGTCTCCAAAATCAGTAAATTTTCAGATTCATATATTCTGGGAATTGCTCTGTTTTGATTTGAATTCTGTAATACACTGTCAGTCCAATTTTTATGGGCTGACAGAACTTTGTTAAATATGCCTCACATGTTCTGCAAATCATCTTAATTAAACAACACACGCTGGCTGGGTTTATTAATTTATTGGAATCTGAGTGTTCTGCAAATCACTGTGTCAGGTGGAATGTCAGGTGGAAGGGCTTGAAGAGTTCCTGAATCAATCCAAATCGGGTCCCCAGGAATCTCCGCAGAAATCATGGACGGATCACTAAGTATCCCTCGTACTGCCCGCAGAACCTCGACTCGTAGAAAGCCCATCCAAGTAGAACCAGAAAGCTCACAGCCATTGACTCAAAGTCGCCCCGCGAATCCGCGATGGACCAAGAAAAGACTGAGGTGCCTAAAACTCCTGCCGCACCAAACACCTGGAGAAGGGCTTCGGCTGCTTCTGCTCGACAGAACACCACACAGAAGGAGAAAGTGGGGTGTGAGGTGTGAGGTTGATGATTTTTTAATTTTTTTTTTTTGTTGGGTGTGTATTTAGGGTTAGTTTGGGAAGATAGTAGGATTTTCTTTGAAATTTTGAAATTTTGAATTAGAAGTTAGGGTGAATAAAGAGTATGCGGGGTTTAAGTAGAAAAACTCTTTGAAATTGAAGCTTCTGATTTTGAGAGGATTATCATTTTATCTTGTATTGTTTTAATAAACCGACTTTCGGAAATCACACATGGATTTTGCCTTGTTTTTTTTTGGTCAATAGGATTTTGCCATGTTCATTAGCAAGTGCCTGTGCACTTCCGCATCGTTACTCATGTGAGTTCTTTGTGAGACTCATGTGAGTTCTTTGTGAGACTCACGTGCGTCAACGATCAGAAAAACACTAGAAGATATAACGTTGCATTCATTTGCAATGTACCAAAAAAAACCAACTTTTCTTTCCCATTTTTGGTAAATATTACTGACAAGTGTCATGGAGGATGACTCCATGTAAAAATACACGAAAAATGTATTTAGCACAAATGTCTCTATAAAGTGCACAAAATGACAATTCCATCTCTATCGCTAGGCTCACTAGCAGTTCTTCATACTGGAAATTATTGTAAAGAATTTGACAGGTTGCATATGAGACATGACTCATCCTAATTGTTCAAGCTATATTTGTTCCAGTTCTTTGTCTGAAGGGAAGCTCACAATGCATACCGGTAGATCGCATCGGCTGCACCATCTTCGTCGTTGCTGAGACCAACTACATTAGCCACAGCTTTTGTCTTCTCTGCTCCATTACTAAGAGCAATGCCTAAAGAAGCCAGCTCAAGCATCTCTATATCATTTTCTCCATCGCCAATAGCCATGATCTGAAAAAATAAGCCATGAGAATAGATCAGGAATAACATCAAATTTGGTGTACAACTAAGAAGGAACTATATAAAAGTCAATAACAGTAGCTTTATCATCCACTAACATCGCTAAACTTGTGGATTTGGATGGTTAGCATACTTTTTCCAATCTGTGTTTATAAACCTCATGCCGATCAAGAGGAGGTATATACCGTAACTCCCTTAAAGCAGAAGAGGCCAAAAACAACAACATGGAAGAATAACTCTGCTGGCCCATACCTCCTTTGGAGTGATTCCCAAATGACCAAGCAGCATGTTTACTCCACTGCCTTTCGAGGTTCCGGGGGGAACAATTTCAAGCATATCAGGCACAGTTTGAACAACTCTGGCAGAGTCTCCAGTTGTTTCTGACCAGTATGGCCTCAAAGCAGTAGTCACTCCCTCAGGAGTGTCCATGAAGACTAGTTTCTGTATATTTGATAAGGTGTGCGTCATTACATGAACCAAAAGCAGCAAGAACTACAAGATATTAGTTCGATCATGTTTTAAAATGAATTGGAGAGGCTAAACAATGACCTTCTGATGAAAAGCTCAATGTCACACAAGAATAACTGTTGTAAGAATCAAGAGAAATTCAGAGCAAAGTCCTAAAGTTACAACTAATGAGCAAAACTGAGTGCAAAGTAACATGCATAATTTCATAATGCATAAGACTTGAAATGGATTTGAATGAAAATAAAAAACAAACCAAAAGTCAGACAAAGTAGCTTCACAATGGACGCAACTTGTACATAGGTATCTTATAAAAAGTTCACAGGCGCTTTTTTATTTATTTTTAGAGGGGGATGGGGTTGGGGGAGGGTATTCTACCTCCTTGAGGACCATACCTGTATTCCAGCAGCAGCCACGAGATGCTCAACTGAAGGCATGATCTCTGCCTGTAAATACATTCCATGTAAATCGTATATAAAACAAGAGAAAAAGAAATCTCAGGCAATAACAGAATATTTATGATCATGATGAAAACTAATCTTTTGGCACCTTTTGCTCATGATATACAGTATGCATAGAATCAACAAGTGGGTGATCAAATAGCGTTAAACAACGATCCTCGGTAAATGCAATAAGAGGAACCTCAGTCTCCAAAGAGTAAAGACATGCCTGCACATAAAAACCATAAGGTCTTTTATTTTATTACAAACCAATGAGCAATAAATTATTGCATGCCTCACCAAGGTATTACCTCTCTGCATACATTTGCATCCAAATTCCTTCTAAAAATTTCCCGACCTTGCCTACCATAAACAAGCAATCCCTGGAATCAAGAAGAGGCAGACAATAAGGACAATACATACTGCTATCAATCCGAGACAGAAACCAAAAAAGTTCTAAGGGAGAAATATTATATGCAACAACCAATGAGCATTTTGTTTCTTAAAATCTTGACCAAGCATTATAGATGAGTCATCGGTTAAATACTTGGGAACCATGTAACTTTAGTGACAGACAAAATACATGTAAATGTTTAAGAGAGAACACGAACGGATACCACACTTCCCTCTAGTGTCATTATCAATCTTACAACAGAAAGTACTACATGTAGATCATGGGTAGATACAAGTGAGAACTTTATTCCACGGTATATAACTAGAGCAAACTTGAAAATATTAAGATAACAGCTCTCCGGACAAAAGAGTAAGTATGCATCTAACAAGTGAAGGCAGTTTGATGTTCATCACATTTAACTTAGCAACAACCTTAAGATAAAATTTTCAAAGGAGAAAAGATAGAACCTGCAAGAAAACCCCAGGAGAAAATTCTGAAACAATGCCATCTTTTCCGGCTAAATCAACTTCCTTAAAAATGCGCATCACAGCTGGACGAGCCTGTTCCAAAGAGCTGTCAACAATTAGAAGATTTTTTAATCAACTCTATTCAACAATAAAAAAGAAAATCATGTATGAAGTAATATTGAGCAACAATAGAAAACAAGAATAACACAAAGTTACTAACATACCAATCAAAATAAGTAAACTTTATACTGGCCAAGAAGTATGAAATCACATTTCCGAGTATAGTATCTCTTGATAATGAATAGCAACAAAGGTTCTTACTTTTCCGGTTGCTATCACTACTTTCACACCCCTTGATGAGGCCTCTTTCAGAGCCTTCACATTTGTTGAACTCAGTTGACTTTTGCTGTTGAGAAGGGTGCCTTGTATATCAAGAAAAATAAATATAAATAACAATTGGTACAAGTTAAATAAAATACAATAAATGCATGGGACAATGTAAGCTCAAACTTACCATCCATATCACAGAAAACATATCTGAACTTTGGCTTATTATATTGAAGGCTGCCTTCTCTCTTACTGTCTTTTAACAACTCAGATGTAAGATTATCTGACCACAAAGTTTAACCAAGAAAATTGCATCGACAGAATTCAATGGAGAGATTATACAATTAACAAATTAAAGTAAGGATGCAAAAGTGAAGCTGGAAAAATATAAAATTACCATCTAGTTTGTCCCCCTGGGTATGGGTTTCAGCATCATATACACTCTGAATTAACCCCTTTCCCTGCCACCCAAGACTCTTTAAGAGAAGATCTTCCTCCTTCTCCATTTCCACTTCAGCATCTTTGCTAAGCTCATGATCAAATCCTAATAGATGTAACAAACCATGCACCTACAGGAGAGTTCAGTGATTAAATTAATCAAATTACACTAAGAAGTTTCTAATATGAGTTATTTAATAGGTGCAAATGACACATTCTATTGACTATGCCTTTTTGCTTGTTATGTTCCTGTGTAACATTATAGACAACAAATATTCCTTCTAGAGAACACTCATCTCTTCAAAATATATTAAACAGTAATAATCATATTCTAAAACCAACCATGAGAATGCGCATCTCGTCAAGGAGCGTGTGGCCTCTTTGCTCGGCTTGTCTTGCAGCTGTCTCAACAGAAATCACAATGTCACCCAACATAAGCTGCAAATCATACGAAATGCCGGTCAAGCATTTATTACAAAAAATACACCCTTTACCTATTATACAATAAACAAAAGATAGAAAAAATCAAATGAGCTAGTACAATGGGAAGCCTAAGATCAGGGACATGCTGGGACATGGAAAGAACATCAGTAGCATGGTCCTCCCCTCTCCATTCTTCATTAAGTTTTCGGATAAATTCGTCATTACAAAAAAGCACGGAAAGCTCGGCGCTTTCATATCCACCAACATTGCTGACCGCATTATCCCTTGTTTTATACACCGAATCTTTCAGACCGTCAAACGCCAGTTTCATTGCCGCTGGAGCATCTACACGAAGCAATTCCGCAGTAGTCTGCAATTTTCAATCTCGTATTATATGAGAAAAATTTATACAAACATGTGGCGATCATTCTAATCTTGCACAGTACACAGATTACATACCGAGATTTCAGGATTTTCAGGCAAAGCTTCTTCCATAGAAACACTGACACTGAGCTCCAGCTCCTTCTCCTTGCTCTTTGGGGCTCGCCGCCTCGCCTTTCTGGGGTCTCTCTGAGCAGCGAAGGCTCGTCCCCTTAGCAATGGTCTCGCACTCGCAGCACCCCTCAATTTCTCTCCGCACATCGCATGAAATCTCAGACCAAAAACCGGGGATTTTGAGGCCTCGAAACGGTTCGTTCCGGTCGGGAAGATTAGGTGCGGCGCAGATGAGTTGGACATGAGGGCGGCGCGTGGAATGTAACGCGCCATTTGAGTGGCGGAGGAGGGAGAGGAGGGTAGGTGGAGGAGGAGGAGCATGTAGACCGCCGGAGCTCTTGAGGAAAATGCGAGTGCTTTGTTTTGATTGGTTGGTTGGTTGCTTCGCGCTTTGGGAGTAACAAACGCACAGTGACAGTGACGTTACGGGCTAAAAATAATTTTTTTTGTTTTAAAAAACTTTTTATTTATAAAGGGAAAATAAGTCCAAATTCAGGGGAGTTTTATGTAATTATACAAATGGAAAAAAAAAAGCTTGACTGTATGTAACGTTCGCAGGGTCTTTAATTTAATCAAGTCCGCATCAGATCAAATCCGAATTCGAACATCGACCAACCCCAACTAACATCTCTCTCTGTCTCTCTACTCTGTTTCTTCTTCTCTCTCAAAATCCTCATCTCACTCTTTTCTCGATCTTTGGCTCTTCTTCTTTTTTCCCTCCATTTCTGTCTCTCTCTTGCTTTCATTGCCCAATTCAGATCTCTCTCTCTCTCTCTCTCTCTCTGACTTCCTTGTCTGATTGCTTTAGAGCTTATTAGGTTTCCGATTCTTCTCCGTCGACAAATTAGGGTTTTGATTATTTCAGCTTCTCCAAAGAGTGCTTTTGCAGCAACTGACACTCTCAACTTGAATTGCCTTCTGATCCCATTTTTCAAATATTTTGCTAAAATTAAGTTTCATCTTAGTCGATCTTCCCTAGGATATATTTTTCTTATAAAAAGATTAGTTTTGAATATTTTCCCATTTTTGGTTAGGCTGTATTTTGGTTTGGGATTTCGGGTGCTGAAATGGCGGGTTCTGAGGGTCCAAACGCTTCTTCCCCGACTCAACAGCCGTCAAAGAAGTACGACACCACGATATTTCTTTCCGGGCCCACCCAGTCCGACCTTCAACGAAATGCCGAACTCGAAAAGGTGCACACACACATATTTATATATAACGTGGTTAATTTTGGTTAGGTTTGATTTACAAGTTGATGACTTTATTTGTTTTCTATTAATTTTGGTAGTTCTTGATTGATTCGAGGCTTTATGAGAGCACAGACGAAGCTGCAAAGAGAGTAGAGGTTCTTGGCCGCATTGATCGGGTATATAATTCTCTGTTCTAGTGTCGACTTTGAGAAGAATCAGTTATAGCCACCCTTATAGTTATCATTTTTGCAAATCTTAGGAAATACGGCATTTTATCGCAGTTGGTGGGTGGTTTAAGGCATAAATTTCAGTCATTGAGTTCTTTTTGGCTCAAATTTATTGAACCATCGATGCTTCATTTACAGGCATCCCCATTGATTTGAAGTCTTGCATTTTGCATCCAATGGATGCAGCTTATGTTTAATGAAGTAATTAATGGTTATACTTTGACTTTTACTGTAGATTGTGAAAGACTGGGTGAAGCAATTGACAAGCCAAAGAGGCTACACAGATCAGATGGTGGAGGATGCAAATGCTGTCATTTTTACTTTTGGGTCATATTGTCTCGGGGTAAATATAAGTTCCCAATGATTTCTTCTAACTGATGTTATTCATATTTGGGTGTGGAGTACAATTTCATCGTTTGGAGTTTCACAAACAGATTTGGGTTATGAGCCACAACGGTATGCTATCTATTTTCGGTGATTTTATGTGCCATTCTGAAATTTGTCAAGCAAGGATCCATGCTTCATAATGAAGACACTGGTACACGGCCAAAATGCAAAGGACCATTGCTAATATTAAAATCTACCGGAAGTCTTTTATAATGAGATTATTTGGATCTTATTCAATGACCAATGGATGTGAACATGTATAACATCTGCGGATTGATCTATGCCAGTCTGTGAGAACAGCTAGTTCTACAATGGTGAACCGCTGTTATATCATTAATCTTACTGTACAACTTGCTGCTGTTTTGAGTATAACCAACTGTAGTTTTATAAAGGATTAGATGTTAATGTGAAGCCCTAGATTTTTTCCTGCTTTGGTTATTTGGTCCAACTACTGAGTGAGAGACTATTTATGCTACTTGTTGCCCACTTTTCATGTTTTTTTTCCTCTCTGTGATAACCATTCTTTATGTGTTTGATGTAGCAACAAATTTATTATTTTGACAGGTTCATGGGCCTGGAGCTGACATAGACACTTTGTGTGTTGGGCCATCGTATGTGAATCGAGAGGTGATGTATATATCTTTATCCGTCTATATATAGAACCAGTTCTTGTTTAATGCATCCGGTCTGATTTATTACCCACATCTCTACCTCACATTTGACTCTTTCTCCAGGAAGATTTTTTTATTATTTTGCATGATATGCTGGCTGAAATGGAAGAGGTTACTGAACTTCAACCAGTTCCTGATGCTCATGTACCCGTCATGAAATTCAAGCTCCGGGGAATATCAATAGATCTTTTGTATGCAAGCATATCTCTTTTGGTTGTTCCAGAGGTGGGTTCAGAATTCACCTTCTTAAAATCTTTTGCTCTTTGTTCCATTTATCCATTGTGCTTCATAACCATGCGACCATAAGAAGGACTGTTTCCAAGCCCCTGTAAACAATATCTTGCTACCTTCCTATCTTGTTTGGTCATGTGGGCCATCTAATGCTCTGGTACTAATATCCTGATTGTTTTTTGCTTGTACAATGTACTAACATTGTGATTTTTTTATCCATCATTATTTGTGGCAAATTGGTTACTAACATTTTGAGACACTTATACTGCTTCATGATTGAGACAATGAATAGTGGTGTTTACGACATTGATGTGGTGTTGGAACATACTTGTCCACAGGATCTGGACATCTCACATGAATCTGTGCTATTTGATGTCGATGAGCAAACTGTTCGAAGTCTGAACGGCTGCAGGGTTGCAGATCAAATTCTTAAACTTGTCCCCAATGTTGAGGTTGATCATAACTTATCCCTTACCTGGTTTATTTCTATTTTGAATTGACTCAACCTTTGACACTCTATGTAACTGTAGCATTTCCGCACGACACTCAGATGTTTGAAGTTTTGGGCTAAAAGGCGTGGTGTTTATTCAAATGTAAGGGCAGTGGTCTAAGTTCTCAGAATCTTCATTGGTATTAACTCTTTAGTTTTACACTTATGCAATGGTCCGTTCCTTTTTTCTATTGTGTGTAGGTTACTGGATTCCTGGGTGGTGTAAATTGGGCTATATTAGTTGCTCGGATATGTCAGCTTTATCCCAATGCAATTCCTAGCATGTTGGTTTCTAGATTTTTCAGAGTATACACTCAGTGGCGTTGGCCAAATCCTGTAACTTTATGTTCAATTGAAGAGAATGAACTTGGTTTCCCTACATGGGATCCTCGTAAAAACCCTCGTGACCGCTTTCATCACATGCCAATAATAACTCCTGCGTATCCTTGCATGAACTCTAGTTACAATGTCTCAATAAGTACTCTACGAGTTATGACAGAGCAGTTCCACCATGGTAATAGGATATGTGAGGTGAGTGCATGAATTGAGTTTTTTCTTCCATTAAGGGCTATGTTTCATCACTGATGTCGTTTCCCCTTTGGTTTATTGTAGGAGATTGAGCTGAACAAGACCCAGTGGAGCGCTCTCTTTGAACCTTATCTTTTTTTTGAGGCATACAAAAACTATCTGCAGGTGGACATAGTTGCAGCTGATTCTGATGATTTGCTGGCGTGGAAGGGGTGGGTAGAATCCCGGTTTAGACAGCTTACCCTAAAGGTAAAATTTTTCGTTTTGGTAAATTTTTATTTT